TGTGGGTGTGCAGGACTATGACCTTAGCCAGCTGCAGCAGCCTGATGCCCTGGAGCCAGAGTGCGTCAAAGTGGGGATCAGACGTCTGGATGAGAGGCCCCTCCACCATGACCACCAGTACCCGCTCCGCTCCGCAGCCCCCCACCCAGGAGACATCGGCGACTTCATCCATGAGGTACGGCAATGAGCAGCAGCTCTGAGATGATACAGACGTGGACGACAACATGTTTGTGTAAAATGTCAGCTCAAACCTGTGCGTGTGCTTCGGTCCAGCCGCACGAACTTCCGACTGTTTCCCAGATTAACTTCCAGTGTTGTACACATGCACCTCTAAGCACACAGGAAGTGATGAATCGCCGCTTCAGTGAAAGAGTGTCTGTCTGACAGCACTAAGTGAACACTGTGTCCATAAAAAGCTGGATTTGCCAACATTAGTTACTTTTGCTTCTCTCATCTTTTTTCCTCCTTTGGTGTCGAGCATCAAAGAGCGTCCAGGATGTGTGCAGTTTACCTCATCACCTTAAAGGATTTAAAATATTCAGGTTCAAACAGTTTGTTTAAAGCTCTGTGGAGGTATTCTGAGCTGCCAGTGTGAGGTTTGACTGCCGCTATTTAAAACTGAAAGCTGAGCATATTTAAAAAGGGAAGCTCGCATTAATCATCACTAAAATGATTCACATTTAGATTGTATTTCATTCTGGGCTCTGCTGTTGACAACATTTCCCTCTAATAAATGTCAGATTCACACTTTCAGCATCTTTGATCAAACTGTTGGAAATGATCGTTGTGAGTGTCACGAAGAGAAAGAAGGAAGCGAGTCGTGGAGCAGCTGACATTTAGAAAAACACAGAGGTGCTAATTCTTAATTAGCTCTGCTAATGGTTCGGATTTGCTGGCTTGACATGTGGTCACAGCCTGGCGACCGAACTGGAGGTAAATCCACAGCGTTTAGTTAATCCCACAGACCAGCTGAGGCCGTCCATGAGTCCTTAAAGGGCTGATTGAGGGTTTAGGGAAATCCAACTTTGATTGTTTTACTGGGCAAAAGTTTTCAGCTATTTCTCATTTCTTATATTTTGCTTCCAATGAGTCAGACTTTCTAGGCTTTTTGTAGGACGCTGTTTCTTTGGACATTCGCAGGATTTTCTTCTTCTTTTCCTTCTTTTTTTTGCTTAACACTGACGTATGAATCAGGTGTTAAAGATGCACCTAATTCAAGAGATAAACCAGTGTTTATTAGGGGTGCA